TCAAACCAAAACTAATTGAGAAAGACAAAGATGGTCACTACATCCTTGTGAAGGGAACAGTCCAAGAGGAAGAGATGACAATCCTAAGTATATATGCACCCAATACAAATGCCCCCAACTATACAAAACATACATTAATAGACATGAAAAACCAAATAAACACTAACACAATTGTAGTGGGAGACCTCAGTACCCCACTATCACAAATAGATCATCTAGGGAATTGCTTTTTACATAAATATAGACTAACTGTTGAACTAACTGATAGCTCCATTTTCCTTTCCCGTGACAGGATTTCCAATCCCTAAGCTGGACATGCTTTCTCAGCTAGGAGGAGGAGAAGAACAATGGGTTCCGGGCCCCCAGGACTTGGAGGAGAGGGACATCCTGAGGGTCACATACATAGGTGAGAACCTAGGATAGAGTTTTAGCCACTACCTTCTCCATTCTTGGGGTGTCATCATTACATGTCCTTCGAGTGGAAAGGTTTAGAGATTTTTTTTTGCTTCAAAAGCAAGGCAAGGTAGCAGAAGGATTATTAAGAGGTCAGGCTCTAGAGTCAAATTTTGTGAATTTGAATTCAAGAGCCACACCTGTGTGAGACCTCAGAAAAGTAGTTAATTTCTTTTTGGTTTCTTCATCTGTAATTGTGAGAATTAAATGTGTTGACATGTTAGAATGGTGAGACAGTGCTAAGCATATAGCACTCAATAAATGTTATTGTTGTTATAGTTCAGCCTCCCACTCACTTTGCAAATGCCTTTCACAGTACCTGTACCATTGCTGACATGTGATAATCCAGCCAGTGATGATTAAACACATTCTTTCCCTTCTCCATGTATTCCTAGGTGGGAAGGTAATGATTAGTAATAATAAATAGTAATAAGTAATGTGAATAAATAATCATAGCATATGCTATTTATTAAGTAAATATATGTAGATACCGTGCTACCTAATACAGAGTGAGGGGGGAGGGAGAGAGAGAGAGAGATTATTCCTGTTTTGAAAAGAAATGAAAGCTTAGAATGAAAAGCTTAGTCTGAAATGAAGAAATGAAAGCTTAGTTCACTAGAATAGCTGAGATTAAAACTTGCCTAATCTGGCTCCTGAGCCTGAGCCTTAAAAACCTCTATGTCTCTTGCACTATCTTGTACATTAGAATGTGTTCTCTGAGTTCTTCTGGGGTGAGGCTTGGCATCATATATCCTTATCAGTGACTTGGGTCCTGAGGTACTCTATTGTAATGTCCTTTTTGGGGTTTTCCCTTCTCCACAGGAGATGGAAGTGAACAAGAGGGGGACACCCCTGAACTAGAAGCAGAACCTCCAAGAATGTTATCCAGTGTGTCTGAAGATATTGTTCCCTGGAACCCAGAGCAGAATGAAAACTGGGATTCCACACCCAGGAACTCCAGAGGAATGCTGCTGGGCCCAGCTTTTCTTCAGGAAGATAGCTTCCCAAACCTTCTGTGTAATACAGAGATGGATTCCCTGTTAAGACCCCATACATGCCCCCAGTGTGGGAAACAGTTTGTGTGGGGCTCCCACCTTGCCAGGCATCAGCAAACACATACCGGAGAGAGGCCCTACAGCTGCCTCAAGTGTGAGAAAAGTTTTGGGCGAAGACATCACCTAATCAGGCACCAGAAAACCCACTTACATGACAAGCCCAGTAGGTGCTCTGAGTGTGGCAAGAATTTCCGATGCAACTCCCATTTGGCCAGCCACCAGAGAGTGCATGCAGAAAGCAAATCCTGCAAGGGCCAAGAGATTGGAGAGAATTCTGGGGCTAGGAAACGGCAGCATGCAGCACCGGTGCCAAAGTGCCATGTGTGCACTGAATGTGGGAAGAGCTTTGGCCGAAGGCACCACCTTGTGAGACACTGGCTGACCCACACTGGGGAGAAGCCCTTCCAGTGTCCTCGCTGTGAAAAGAGCTTTGGCCGAAAACATCACCTGGACAGGCATCTGCTGACCCACCAGGGACAAAGTCCCCGGAGCAGCTGGGACAGAGGGACATCTGTCTTCTGAAATATGTTTCTGCTACAGCTATAATCAAGTTTATCAGCCAGTGCTAGCGGTCACTGCCAGGGCTGCCCCTCTCCGTGCACTGCAATGGCCAGAATAGTGAACCCTCATCCTGTCCCTAAAGAGATGATGTTCCAGCATTGGGAAGAGCATTACTCAGCAGTTCTGTGAGATAACACATATAAACGATGTTCTTTGAGCACAATTTTGAGAAACGGTGTATATTACGTGGGCTGATATTCAGCCTGAGCCCATTTACAAGGGTACCGTGTTATTGGTAGTTATAGCTGGGGTCACTTCTAAGTGGTTGGCATCTATGCTGTACCCATTGTTAAATATTTTGCGTATCAACCTTGCATACTAATTATATTCTCTCTATATATGTGTATAAAGAGAAGACCATTTTAGCATATTAAAGGCTCTGATTACTTTGGCAGTAATCTAGCTTCTATTAATATAATGTTTCCTAAATTTATTTGACCTCAGCATCCTATTTCACATCCCACAGAACTGGTGACTCCATGAAACACACTCTGGTGAACACTGGGTTACAAAGTACTGGGGAAACAGCAAAGAGATAGTGATCAGGCACGCAAACACCCCTTTGTATTCCTAGGAAAGCCAGGGGGGTCAGATGTTATTCCTGTGTGGGTCTGTCACCCTTACCTCATCATTCATATATATATATATATATATAATATATATATCTACACTCTCACCCCTACCTGCTGAAAAATATAATGACCTTTTCACCCCCTTATTCCTACCCCATTAGTCTACACATACTTATATCCAGCTGAGAGTCATGCTACAGTGCTAAAAGATGAACCTATGCCCCCAGTAATCCAGGCCCACACAGAAGAAAAAAATATTCCCTTGAACAAACCCTGTCCTCTTGACTGTGTTGTCTATGTGTATATGTGTGCAGGGTCCTTGAAGAGAGCATGCTAAGTGCAAATTTACCTGGTAGGTTTTCTAGGGGCTATGTTCTGGGTATGAGGGTAGTGGGGCTGTATGAGGTTTTTAATTTCAAGGTAGGAAATAATCTGAGTGATGAAGGAAGCATGAGTGGAAAGGGTTCAATGATATGTAAGTTGTATACAAAATTTTCCTCAGTATCTGTGAGATCAAAACATTGTAGATTTATATGTCTATATCTGAATCTCTGGGCTGCACATTGTTTTTATTTGGGAAGAGAAAGAGAATTCGTCAGTGAGATGAGCTGTTTCTTGTTGATTTCAAGCAAGGTGGACATATGTATATGGTTTGTATTGAGTGGGGGGATTTTGTCTTAAATGCTTGAAAATTAGCAAGGGCATCATAGTGTTTGCAAGTTGTCATCATCACTCTTATTTGACTTTGATCACCTCATCAAGGGAGAAGTTATTCTGGAAGATATCATTCTCCCAGAGACAGAACTTCAGGGGAAAAGCCTGCTTAGATTTTCAGCAGATGACCTTTCTGGTTGGTTTTCCTCTGAATCCTGGGAAAGTGTCCACACTTTTTAAAGAAGCTCCTAACTCTAAGGTGTCCACAATAAGACATATAAGAATTCCAGCATATGTTCATGAATTGGTCATTGTTTCTCTGTATTGATGACTGTGTTAATGCCAATCTTATAATTTGAAAATTATCTTGGATGTATAAGCAGTTTGGGGTTAGAGAAAAAGTGAAGCAAAGAGGATGAAAGTGGGATATTTTCACTTTAATGCTTAGATCCTGGTTTTTCTCTAAGACGCTTATTTCTCAACCATAATTGGTAGAATTAGCCGGAGAGGCAAGAGGAAGTAAGCTGCAACAATCTACTTTCATAAGTGTTACATCTGCTTAGGAAAAGCTGGGTGAATCACAGCTCCTCCGGGTCCTGGGCTCAAAAGAAATTGAAAATAGGGTCATTTTGCTGACATGGCTTCTTAAGACTATGTGATTTGGGTGGGCCAACTTTCCTTCTATTATTGAAAGCAGCCTTCCTTCTTTGCCTGGAATGTAATTCTCTTATGTTCCTACAAACAAAGCAAAATGATCAGCCCTTTGTAGGCAGGCCCTATCTGGGTCCTCAGAGATGGGAGCATTTTAGGATCAGTATTTAAAAATGCCCAAGAAAAATAGGAAAATATTGTGCTCCGGTGTTAAAGTTGAACTGTGCCTTTTTTTTTTTTACCCTCCCACTTTAATATAAATATTTAATACAAATCAGCTCTATATAAAGCTCTCTAGTGCAACCTATTTTGGATCCCATACATGTTTGTGAATCTGATGGGAACCAGAAACCCATGGCTGAGTAAAACAGACATTTTCGATGGAATCAGTAAACGGGTCAAAGGGATCTACCCTGATTCAATGTGGTTATAAATGTGTATCAAGAATTACAAGGCAAGGGTCACTAAGTATTTTAAGGACTAACATCCAAAAGGCATCAGAGTATGAATATACAGTATAGTGTTTAACGACTAGAAGGATATTGCTTACATTCTATGTTTTTTAAGAAAGATCTGATATGTCCATCTTTAAGAAAGATCTGACAAGCCCATCTAACAAACTTTGTTTTAAGAACACATGGGAAGCGATATCCCATATTGTCAGATGATTTTAATGACTACATGTTAACCTCCAAATTCTTATCTGTTTTAGTAATTGTAGGGATAGAAAGTGAACCCTTCTAAGTGTAGGTGCAATTATAATACCCAGCTAAAAAGCATCGTGGAGTCTAAGGGCCTTCTGCAGAAGGGGCAATCCTTTGGGTCACTTCTGGTGTACCATTGTCTTCCCTACCTCGGTCCAACACCAATCTCTTGGACAAAAAAATAAATAAATAGAACAAGTAAAAGCTATCCAATGAGTGACTAGATCTGAATCAGTCTCACACTTCTATTGTTCACCAAACTCTCTCATGCCACATGGTCACTTATTTCCTTTAAATAAAAAAATATGCCTGTGTTCTCTCTGGTCAAAGCTTAAAATAGGGAAGTCCATCTTCAAGAAGCTCTCACAGTTTTCCATTTGTGATGCTACGTTCTTTTCCAGATATCCTCCCCTTACTGCCTACTTATAAAAAGAATACTTGCTAACCCTAACTGAGCTTTTCCTTGAGGTTATTTACATTTTAGGCCTTAGCTTCAATTTTGGAAAGAACTATTTTTCCCTTGTTACAGAAATGTTATGCCATCGGAAGAGCTAAAGAGGTGATTATTTGGATGCAATAATTTCCTATTGCAATCCAATCACTGTTTCTTACTTCCATCAAGTACAAAGTAAGCCCTGATTCAGACCCACAGGGGCTAGAGACAGGTTCCTTCCATCACTAGATGGGCTCACTAAAGGTGGTTGAGCAGGGATGAGCAATGACAGAAAAGTAAAATCTGTTCCCTTAGATCCTTTGGCCTGAGCTGGTAAAATTTCCCGCTATCCCTTTGTGTAATACCAGACCATTGTTCTCAAAGTGTAATTTTGGACCAGCAGCAAATTCTCATACCTCACTTCAGACCTACTGAGTCAGAAACTGGAAGTAGAGCCTAACAATCAGTCTTTTAATATGCCCTCCAGTATATGATATTAGCTAAAGTTTGAGAACACTGGCTAGGGAATTCAAACTCCGTTTCAAGCAGTGGTACCTCACCCTCTTCAAATGGATCTTCACAGTCCTGTTGTTACCTTCACTGCAGTAGGCGTTAGTCTGTTCCACTTAGTTCCAAAGCTTTCCTTCACCCTTAACTCAGTGAAAGAATTGCCATCACTTACAAATTTCAGAAACTGTGGGAAGCCACTACAAAGCTCCAATAATTGATTGAAGCAAGGGCTTTCAATATGAACACTGGGGACACTTGGGTCCAGAAATCTGAAACAACAGAAAGAAGAGGCCAGCTCAAAGATAGTCCAACTTAAACTAAAAGACTGGCATTCAAGAAAATGGTCTTCCTTTGCTGGCTATCTCGTCCTTTCACTCAGCTTTCTAATAAGTTCCCCTGGAGGCCGATGGGGTGAGCATTCAGCAGAAAGGTAGATATTAAATCTTATTGGGTTAAGCCCTTAAGAACCACGGTTTTCCAACCTCAAAATTGAATTAGTGACCAGTAAGGGGCAATGCAAGGGATTCCTAACTCTGATTTGGTGTACCCAACAGGCAAGCACCAGAACTATCAGAGCGTGCCCAGAGAACAAGTGGGAAATAGGTTTATTTTGTAAGATGTGACGCAAGCAAAATTCAAACCCATACTGTTTCTTAGGTAGAGGTAACCAATTTAACTGTGGTGCCAAAAGAATGCGTTCCTGCTTCGAAAATTCTGTGTTGTTCTGGTTATGGAAAAGGATCTGTCTTGTAGTCCCTGGCCCAGCTACCTCCTCCAGTTCCTCTCCTAGACATGATGAAGACACACTGAAATGACAGCTAAATGCCTACCCACAGAGGCTAGACAGAGCTGCAGCTTTCTTTAACTCCAGATCTCTGGTTATTTTTCTGTCACCACTGCCTGTTTTGTTGCCTTCAGGGCTTCATATGTGATAGGTCTCCCACTGCCTTGTGAGACCTAACTAACTCCATTTTAAAGTTTGACTCCATCTTAAATATAAGACAGTAAAGTGGCCTTGACATAAATTCCACTTCACTGAAGTCAACTATTCCCCTAGTCTCCTTTGTGCCCATAAACTAATGATAAAATGTCCTTGCTGTGGGACAACAGATTAAAAAAGAGACACAGCTCCTAACTCAATCCTCTGTCTGCCCAGAAAACAGATGCTCCCGGGCCCATTATCTATAGAACATTCTGTCAATGTGCTGATTGTTCCTTTTTCCCACAAACTCTACATGTAGCCACCCCTCAACCCCCCATGCTTGCTAAATATCAACCAATCATGTAACTGCTAAATGGAACATTCCCAAACCTTGCTGTAGCCACAATAAAAACCCTGCTGATTTGGAATTCGGGGCTCTCAATCCTGACCCGCTGAGTCGGTGACGGTTGAGTGCCCCTGCTCGAGCTTGAATAAACGACCCTCGTGTGTTTACATCGGAATCGGCTCCTTGGTGGTCTTTGGGGACTTCGCGATCTGGGCACAACAGCCTCAGCAGCTATTATGTATAGTAGCTGCCCTCTTCCTATGGTGCCTTGCCCCCTCCCCTGTGTGACATCATGCCAAGATGGTTGCTCCCACCAAAGAATAAACCCTTCTTCCCAGCATGCCCCTGGTCCCGCCTAGAAAGTCACCTAATACTCGCTCACCTCCTACCACCTAGTGACATCACCGGCTCCTCCATTCCCTAGTCACTACCTCACTCAACTCCACCTCAGCCCCTACAAACCCCACCCCAGTCCCTATAAAAGACTCTCCCTGCCCCGGCCATATTGCTTTTGTCTCTCCTTTGTTCAGAGACAGCCCGGCAGATCTGTTCCCCTAATAAAGGCTTGTTGTGGCCTGGTCTGGTCTTGGTTTTTGGCCCTTTTACCTGACAATATGTTTGCTTATTCTTTTGTGTTTACTCACTTAACCCCAGCCACTTTGAAGACTACTTGGATGAGTCTGGTCTTTTCTATTACCAAAAAAGTAGAGAAGGCAAGGGAACTGGGAAGAGGGAAAGGAGAAACAGCCTCCCCAATTGTTCCTTCAATTGAAATCATGATATCCTATCTACCCTCCTATTCCTCTCTCACCCTGATTGAAGTCCTGGTTTTACCACCCCTCAGTCTTCAGTTCCTGTTTTCCAAATTCTTCAGCTTGCTTGTGTGTAAGTCTTTTCAATATGATGCCCCTCTATCAATTTCCCAAACAACCTCTGTTCCTTCCCAGGTGCTTATGTTTTGGCTATAGTGATTGTTAGCCCACCCAAATGGCTATATCATATCAGAGATCCCCAAGATAATGGGAGAGATCTGTTATTTGGAAACCACTGACAAATGGAGATGTTTACATGTTCTAAAACACGGGTTAAATGTCTGAGAACATTGCTCCCCTCACTGTGAAATCTCTGCAACAATAAAAAGCTCGGTGCAGAAATGGAGTCTGAATTTCTGACCTTTACTTACTGTCTTAGTTATTTATTTATTTATTTTTTTGGTACTTACACTAGTGAGGCAGGTGGCAGAACCATTGAGCTAAATCCCTGGCCCTATGTCTTAGTTACTTTTATCTTTGCTAGGACAAAATACCTGACACTCAAAGTTAAAGGAG